TTTCAACTCTCCAGGCCTAACCTACCATCTCTGTGCTGCCCCTGGTCTTTACAGGCCAAGGGCAGTCTGTGTTGATTATGGGAGACCCTCTTTCCTTGGAAGAGATCAGTATTTCCAACTCTTCTCCAAGTCCCTAGAAAGTCTTTACTGTGTCTCCTGGCCTTCAAACCTGATCACTGTGCCATAGCCAGTAAATGATAAATCCAACCAATCAAAGAATGTATATTAAGTGTCTCTGTATGCCCAGTGGTGGGCTCTATGCAATGGTGGCCTATACTGAAATGCTATAGGTGATCTTTTCCCTTAGGATGCTAATCACCTCCCCAGGAGGATAAAGCTAATACACAGGAAGCAAGTAGAAGATTGCATGGTTACTGATTATCAAAGCTCAGAGAAGAGGCTATTTATTGAGCACCTACTATATTCCAGGGACTTTAAATGTTTAAATGGAGTTGTTCAGCAATGATGTGAGACTGGTTCTACTGTCATCCTCAATTTACAAAAAAGAAATGGAACCTCAGAGAGGTTAGGTAACTTGTACCCAAAGTCACAAAGCCAGTAAGCGGCAAAGGAGGAATCTGGGCCCTGCTTTGGGTAACCGTAAAGCTTTCAGTCTCTCAACTACCGTGAATTAAGAAATAGCCAGATGAGGCTTCCTAGAGGAGGTGGGAGCTGACCTAGGTCTTGAAGGGTGAGTAAGATACAGATAACCTCAGAGGAATAAGAGAATGAAGCCATTCTAGACAGAGGGAAGAGTCTGAGTCAAGCACGGAGTCATGACTGCGAAGCGTGCTTGCTGGTGGACCTGCTGGACAGGAGCAGAGAAGATTAAGAGAGGAAGGCGGGGCGGGGCCAAATGACACCACAAAGCAGCAGCTTCCTCCATCAGGAGGAAGAGGCTGCTCCTTGGCCTGTCCATGCCCCTAAGAAAGCACCTCACCCTCAACCCCACATAATCCACTCCAGAGAGCAATCCATGCCGTCTCCTCCCATGTAATCATTCTTCTCTTCTTAAAAGCATTGCCCCCAAACCGACCTTCTGCAGACACTGAGAAACCCATTTCTATACTCTGGACGTTACCTGTTAGAGTAGCTTCTACTTGCCCCACTGAGCAGCTTTTCTGTGAGTCTGGTTCTTTTTCCCTTTCAGTTTTAACCTTTTCCAAAACAGGAAGTAAATATTTGTCTATCAGTCGGTCCTAAGTTGCCACCCCTTCACTGGACCCCAAATGGATATAGAGGATGCCAGAGGTGATTTACATATAACTTCTGATTTTGTGATAACCAATCCTAGTCTCCATGATTAATATTTCTGGAGACCTTTAATTTGAGATCCTTAAGGATTCACATCAGTTAGAACGTCAGGAAAATGTACCCACATATCCTTGGGAATCCTTGTCTTGCAAAACTGGGTGACTTAATTTGAACACCCTCTCCCTGAGGAGACTCACCATATCTACTGGGAATAATTCAACACTGGGGCCACAGCTTGGTGAGCACTCCTACTACGGAAACCTCAAAGAGGCAACGAAAAGCAGTTCTGGCAACAATGGAAAATAAGGCGAGCTCCTGCCAAGTAAGTACTTTGCAAACAACAGTAAAAACGAAACGTGTGAACTCGTGACCACGGTCTACTGGTGCATTTCGGGAAGGTCTCACAGAACCCGAAATGGAGAATCAAGGCTGACACCCATCTCAGGGGAGAAGAGCGTCCCTTTAAGAAGGAATTGTACCAGCTGGCCACACTACAGCTCCCAGAGATTTCCTGGCTTGCCTCCTGGCCCCACCCACCAGTCTCTGGCCTCAGCAACGCGTGACGTCAGAGAAAGCTGAAGCTGGCGATAGGCTGAACAACGCAGCTAGGTCAAGTCCAGTCAGAGGAAAGAAGTTTGTCTCCATGTGGAAACCATGTGTCTCTAGCTGGGAGGGGGAGGAGGAGGAGGCGGAGAAACTGAGATCAAGTGATTACAGGGGAACTGGCTGAAATGAACGCGGAGAGGTTGTGCACCTGAGCCGGCCAGCAATGCCCTTTGCAGTAGTGACCTAAAAAGAAAAAAAAAAAACCCAACTTGCCCAACAAACAAAGCTTGAGCCCCCTCCCATCATAATAATAATTAAACAACTAGGATCCCTGCTTCCTTCCAAAAACCAGGGACCTGAGAAATGCTGGAGTCCTATCGGAACGCCCAGATCCCCCTCCCTCCCCCAACAACTGAATGATGTAAGCCTTTCGGAAAGCGGGGCTCTGAAGCAAAACAAGCCCCGCGCGCGCGGAGCGACCCGCAGTGCCCGAGCCCGGCGCACGCACGACCCGCCCCCCAACTCGCGTTATTGCTGTGCACACGCGGACCGCCGTGACGCGCGGGCATTGTGTGCAGCGAGCAGAAAACAACGGCGAGCGCCGCCAGCGCGAAGAAGCGCCCCCAGTAAAATGAGGCAGATGTAGGGCCCGCCGTTTTCCGTACCAGGAAACCCAGACCTGGCGGGAGGTCGGGGGGGGACCGAAAGTGGGGAGGATAAAGCAGCCCCTGTGGGCCGCTTCTGTTTGCAAGGGGCATAATAGAGGGCCCGGCGATGGTCGCCCGTAGTTTGCTGGAGGTCACCCTCGCCAGCAAGAGCTACTGGGGAGGGGGCGAGGGCCTGGAGCTGGGTCCCTGCAGCCAAGCCGGGCAAGGCGCAGCGGCCCACGCTCTCGGGGAAATCTGGGGGCCGTTGGCATCACGTCATGCAGAGCCAAACAGCGGCGGCAAATAGAGGCAGGAGAGCTAAAAATACTCCCGCGGGGAGCCGGCCGGAGCGGGGGGGCAGTAGGGCCGAGGGGCTGATTACGCACACGAAGTTGACTTTGACTGGGGCGCTGAGGTTCCCGAACCCCTCTCGGGGGCTGCGGGGCTTGCAGTGCGGTCACTCGGGAGAGGGACCGGGAGGAAGCCCCCTGGCTTCCTCCGCCACAGGAGCCCCGCTCCGCTGCCGTTGGCCCGCCCCGTGCGGGGTAGCCCGGCCCGGCGCGCCCGGCCCTCTGCTTACGTGACTGGTGGCCACGCCGGAGCCCCGGCACGGGGTAAACTAGGAGGTGGCGGCGGCCAGGGCGGCCGGGGACGCCGCGGGGGAGGCGGCGGGGGCGGGGGCGGAGGTCTCTGATTGTCTGCGGGTGCGAAGCGGGGGGCGGGACGCGGTGGAAGCTCTCCAGCCACCTCCTTAGTACACCATGCTTGGGGGGTGGGGGACCAGGTTTGCCACACACTGCCAAGGTGCCCTCTTTGGGTGCACCCCCCGCCAGAGTCGTCACCACGGGACAGACTCCGGAGAACCCCGGACAGGGGTGAGGGGTAGCTAAAGAAATCGCGCCCCTCCCCCCTCCAACAAAAGCAAACACACCAAACAAAACCACATCTTCACCCAGCTCCCCACCAGCTCTGGCTTTTCAGAAACTACCCTCCTGACGAATGCACTCCCCCCCCCCCCTTGAATAATCGCAAACTGAGCCGGCTACACAGCCAGCGATGCGCCTTTCTCGCAATCCTGGCACTCCGAGAAAACAGGAGAGAAGAGAAAGAAAAGAACATACACAACCGTCCTCCCCACACAAATCCTTGTTTTTGCCTTCAGCCACTACACAACTGGCGCTGGCAACACACGGTTACTTTCACCCTGGAGGCCTGGGGTGTTGGTCAGCTAAGGTGTTTTTGCGTTTGAGGACTGTTGTTGTTGTGTTTTAGGGGGAGGAGGTTGCAAGATCTGACACGTTGCAATCGGACCATTTCCCCCACCCCCCCTCGTCTCATGGATCTTCCTACTTGTTCGGACCGATTAAACAGTCTGGTTTTCTCCAGTCCATCGGTTTATCTGCCTCGACCCCTTCCCCCTTCTCGCAGCTCTTATTTGTGAGGACCGTGCTGGAGACGCCGCACACGCGTGCCCCCGTTAGGACGCTGAGTCGACTGCCTGGGAGGACTGGGGGACCCAGCAGGCAGGGGCAAAAATGAAACAAACAAATACAAAAAGGAGGCCAGGCCGGGGTGGGGCTCCCAACACCCCCCCCCCAACATTGCTCTCCACCTGAATCCGCGAGGGGGGGGGGCAGGAGGACGGCAGAAATCGACAAGCAGGCGTTCGCCAGGCGCGCTCGCTCGTAAGTCGTCTCCCGGAAAATAAAGAAACCGCACACAACAGCCCACACCTTCTTCCCCAACTATTGTTTCCTGCGAGATCCCAAAGTTTCCTTTTAGCTGTGTCCCCCTCGCCAAGTTTCCCGGGCGCAGGACGGCGGGTCCGGGGCGAGCTGCTGGCGCTGCCTGGCCCAGCCGGCCTGTTTGGGGGAGGGGGGGTGGCGGCACCCCAGGGCAACAGAGGTGCTGGGGGACTGTGTCCGTGGACGCGATGGCCTGAGCCCCGCTGCGAGAGGGGAGGAAAAAGCACAGTAGACAGGAGGGAGAAGCCGAGCCGAGCCAGCCAGACCAAGCCCATGCCGCGGAGGGCTGTTTGGTGGTTGTTGTTGTTATTGTTGTCGTGTGTGTCTCTTGTGTGTTTTTTTTCTCGAACCGCTGAGCTCTGCCTAGGATTTCCAACTTTGGGCTTCTAATCCTCACCCCACCCAGGAACGAGCGACAGAAAAACAACACTTGTCTGCCCGAGAAGGCTGGGGGGGGGGGGGGGGGAGAAGGAAGAAAGGCGACCTCGAAGAGATGAGCTCTGGGCTCAGTTGTCAGCCAACAACACTCCCCCGCTTGTCCACCCGGCGGTCCTCCCAGCCTCCGGGAGACCGACGGACGGACGTACCGACAGCCCCCCCTCGCCCCCCCCCCCCGCTCGTCTTTGTTACATCTTTAGCAGCTTTGTGCGTGCGTGTCCTTTCTCCGGTGTCATCGGCTTTACTGCCGAGGGCTGGATGTGTGTGTTGGGGGGAGGGGGGCGCGGGCCGAGCTGGCGACAGGGGTCGCCCAAGTGGTTGAGGAAGAAAGAGCCGGGCGCCGAGGAGCAGCCGGGGCCCCTAAACTTACTTTTGTTTTCTTTCTCGATCTGCTCCAGGTAGCTGGCGGCCTCGAGCAGAATCTGCACGTTCTGCAGAAAAGTGTTGATGTGCTTCTCCATCGAGTTCTCGCTGGTGTTGAAAATGTCCGAGAAGGGGCACCTGAGCTTGGCCCCCGCGGGCTCCTCGGGCTGGGCCGGGGGCTGGGGCGCGGCCACCGCCGGGGGCGCGGCGGGGGCCAGCCCCGCGCCCTCACAGCGCGCCTCCTTGCGCGGCCGCCCGCGTTTGCCCATGGAGGAACCGGGGTCCGCTGAGCTCGTCCTCTTTTGGGGCTGCGCTGCCCGGCCGAGCTCCGGTCCCCAGAGGAGACCCGGCTGGCTGGAGCGGAGGAGGCGCCGAGGCGAGGAGGCGACCTGACTTCCCGAGCCTCGCTGCGTGCAGTTGTGTGAGTGTGTGAGTGTGTGTCGGTCTCGCAGTGGGTCTGTGTGTATGGGAGATTGAATGAACCTACAGGACAGACGGAGGCGCTCTGGCGCCTGGGTCCTAGTGCGAGCCTGTCGCCATCGGACCGGTCAAAATAAAAGGTGGAGACAAGCGAGGCAGGGACCGCCCTCAGCCCGTCCCCGCACCCTTCCCCGCCTCTCCCCAAATCTTACCTCAGAGTAGAGCACTGTATTTCAACACTAAGGGAAAAAATACTCGATGCCTCTAAGTGGACCTGCATAAAAACAAACTAGTAAGCTATTTTTTTCTTCACATAAAAGTAAGACCTCGTGAACGGTCCAGCACAATGCCTCGCACATAGTGAGTGGGTCCCCATTAAATGGTAGCTGCTATGACTTTTTTTTTTTTTTAATGAAAACCCAATCCGAAAAACCCCATCGCATGTAACCTGAAGTTTCCTCCTCCCGATTCACACACCCCTACACATAGACAGGCACAGGCATGTGCCTTCACGGGGTCAAATGAAATCCCCAGGCCACCAAATTCCAGTTACAGATTTACTCACTCTTTCTTTCTCCCTTCAAATGCAAAGTTATTTTCCAGGAAGGGGGAGGAGATGTAAGCATCTCTCTCCACACTCCTCTTCCCAGCTTTGGTCCAGCTGTGCAAAGCTCACACTAGGGTGCCCCCACACCTGGCACCCTTTTATTTGACAGAGCAGCAGAAATGGCAGGCCGGGACCCCCACCCCCACCCCAGCTGAATTCCACCTTTTGGCTCTGAAGACTCTTACCCCAGTTGACACCGTTGTTTTTACTGCGCTGCTATCACCCAGTCAGGATCTGCGGGAAACGGGGATGCTTTCCAGGCTTGGGAGGTATGGTGGGAGTCAGAGGGCTAGCTGAAGGCCATTAGGGAGTGTCACAGAGAAGGGTTCAAATCCAGCTCTGAAGTACACAGGCTGTGTGAGCTTGGGCAAGTTCCCTAACCACTCTTGGCCTGTTTCCCCATCCATGAAACTCTGATAAGCTTCTTGTGCTGATTAAATCATATCTGCACTTAGCACACTACCTGGCCCATGGTAAGATCTTTTTCTTTCAATTCAGACCCAGATAAGAGCCTGGGTCCCCTACTTGCTTCTAAGTTGTTGGGGGGCGGGGATGGCAAGCTGAAGCAAACAAGACTCTTCTGCGTTTTGTTGGAAAACATCTCTGCAACAAACCCATCTAAATATCGTCACCTTGCAAGGCCAACTGGAATTTTCCTCCAGGGGAATCATTTACACAGAAGCACATTAAATACCGCCCCCTGCCTTTGAGCAACCCCACCACCCTGCTCAGAAGCAGCTTCTTACACATTTGTCTGAAAGACCCTTATTGGAAATGGAAACTTTTTTAAAAAGGAGAGAAAGTACATTTCTTTGTAAAACATTCATTATGTAAAACTTAGAATACACATGCCCTCACAGAACCTTCAAGAAAGTCTTGTGTACTTTCAGAATGTAATAACCTGCTGCTGATATGCAGGAGCAATCAGTAACCGGCATTTTAAAGCCAATGTATTCACATTTTGGACCATAATATAATCATACTACATATACTGTCTGTCCATTTTCTGTCCTGTGACAAATTTTGATGGTTGATCTCTGCATCCTTTAGCTAGGATAGAGTAGAAGCTCCCAAGAGCTGTGAAATAAAAGTTTACCTTCCATTATCAGAACAACCACTGACTTTTTTTCCTGTTGGGACCACAACCTGAGTGACTCATGTTTAAAAGTGTTTATAAGAAAAAATAAAAATAAAAAAAAATAAAAGTGTTTATAAGTATAAGGACTTTAGGAATGTATAGTTTCAAACAAGTTTTATCTAATGCTATCTTGCAAAAACTAGCACTTGTGTAAAATAGCCCCGATCTCCCTTGCCCCAAGTGAAAGATGATAGTGAGACCATGAACCAGCTACACCCGAAGAAAACCTGAGTTTTCACCCCAGTAACGCAGTACAGTGTCCTACACGCATGTCTACACACACTCACCGAGATAGGCACACCCCACACATGAGTGCGGGGCGGGGGTTAGGGTGTCTTGTAATTATTTATTTATCCCCGTTTCATCTCTCATAGGTCTGTGAGCTTCAGAAAGCCCAGTGGGAATCTTCAAGCTGGGCCACGGATCTGACCAAAGCCAAAATAAACAATGGCTTGAAGAAAATCTACAAAAAAGTGCTGATTTGCACTATTCCCACAGTCAGCCACAGCCCCCACCGTCATTCCCATGGAAAACACCACTGCTGGTGCCAAATCAATTTCCCCCCCTTCATAGGGGCATTGTTTTTTGTTATTATGTGAGTTCTTAGCATCAGACAATAGTACCACAAGAGACTCAGTGGAGGCAGGAGAAATGCCTTTTTGTTTCACTAAGTCTGTGCCATTGTGCCCCAGACTCCAGTGCACAGAGAGTACAGTCGCACATATTCATTTCGGTAACATGTATGTGGAGCGAGGAAGGCGCCAAGCTAAAGCTCCAAGCCCCGTTCCTTATTTTTCCTTTCCAGAGCCCATCAAGTGTTAAATCATGCCGGCATCTTATTGCTCTCTCCCCCTTCCCACACCATCCCTCAATTATCAGTTCCTCTAATAAAGTTGGCCTCCACAGAAAGTGGCGTTTCAGGGGTTATATCACAGGACAGGCATCCAGGATGCTGGGTTACAAGCTCAGCTCCATTCCCCATTAGCTTTGCTTCCCAGGAGGAGGTATTCAAGCCTTTTGCACCTTACTTTCTCCGGGGCTTTGACTCCATAAATAAACAGGCCTCTTTGGAAACTTGCTGGCAGTTTTTGCAGAGAACAGGTAGTAGATGAGAAGGCAGCTGGCCTGCGAAAAATATGTGAACTCCTTGAAAAAAAAGTAGTGATTTTTTTGCAGTGCCCAGCGAGACCAGACAAGATGTTTCCAGGGGCCCAAGATATCTTGGAGGCACATTCAGTCAGGGGCCTGTTTTCCCAAACTTCTATTTCTTTGTTTGGTCTCTCTGCCTGTTGGTAATATTTTTCCATCAAACTTGTTTGCATATTAATGCAAGATCGCTCTCTCATGTGTTTGCCCCTCTTTCTCCCCAGACATTCTACATATGCTTACATCAAAGGAGTTTGTTTGGCCTGTGAATTCTGTCATCAGGTACACAGAGACTGGTTAATTACTGAGACTCAAGGAGAGTGGCCCTCAGACCTCCCCATTCTGCACTTGGATGGGATGCCCTTTGCTGTCCTGGACCATTTGGGCTCTCCTAGGCTCCTCAGCCCTGCTCTTCCTCCTTACCCCTTCTCCTTTCCCTAGCCCTTCCTGCTATAATATCTAGCTTTTCCTTGGATCTTGCCAGCATGGCCAGGTCAGGTTCTTCCCTGCTCTTTGACCTGTGGTCTTTGTACTCAGGCTTGATAAACACCATCAAGAGATCTTCTGTCTTCCTGCATTGTCACCTGAGTCCTAATTCCCCAGAGCTTTCCTAGCCAAGTTTTTCCTTGGCACCTTTCCCTTGGGCAATGAGCTAAAGAATTGGCTTCTTCTTTCCTTGGGAGCCCCCATCTTGGTTTCACCTACTAGGAGGGAGAAGTAGCTTCAAGGAAAGCCCAGGAATAGAGGTTTAGGGACTGGTAAGACACGAGCAGAATGGCAAGAACAAGAACTGTATGGCTCTGCTTCTCCCACTGGCTCCTGGAACAGCTTTTAAAAGTGCTGAGCAGGCCCCTCCAACCACTCCCCATGCCCCCACCCCCACCCGCACATTCACCAGCGGGTATAGACATGGACAGAGGATAAATAGCCTCCACCCTACATTGGAGCTCACCCGGGTGTCACCTGCTCCTGGGGCATTATCTCTGCTCTTCTGGACTCTGCCCTCCCTTCTCCTGGACCTCCAAGGCTGCCAGTTTTTCCTATCTCAGGCATCTCCTGGGCTTCTCCTATGCAAAGCTCAGGACTTATAGGGTTCTTTAGATTATGAGCTCCTCAAGGGCGGGGAACACGCCTTGCTCCCCCAGCACCCTAGCACAGCACATGCATGGCACAAAACAGGGGCTTAGGCCCTGAGGGTCAAAGTCATGAATGCCCTTTCCTGCCTGGCTGGACCCTTGGTGCTGGTCCTTCCTGGCTTCCTGGCTCCTGCATGGCAAGAGGAGGCATTTGACACTGTCTGCAAAACTCTTCCTGAGTCACTCACATTAAAGTTTAAATATCAAAATGTTGTCTGTCCAGAAGCCAGAAACCCATTGAGTCACATGGTTGAGGTTCCCTTCCCCAAAAGTGCAGAGGCTCGGTCACTCTTTCCCCTGTCCTTACTGCTCTACGTATCTGGTAATAAGATGCCTCTGATGGAAAATTTTCAAAAATCACCAGATGATGAAAGCAATGGCCTGAGACCAAAGTGGGAATCATATGGAGCTTCCCCTCCACATATTCTCATCATAGGGTTTCTTCTAGCCCCGGGGGGGGGGGGGGGGGGGAGGCGGCAGGCCTTCAGGCCCCTATTTTCTTTAACATCTCCGTATTTTAAAAAATACATTCAGCCAAGATTCTAAATTCATGTATATTAAGGTACCAGTGACTGACACTAGCTTAGATATGATCATTCCTGGAGGATTTTGGAATTAAAAGATGGCCAGTGCTTTAAGCTAAAGGAATAAAGTTCCAGTGGTGAAATGTTAGGCATCAGGAGATGGAAGGAGAAGGTAGTATTCAGGCAACAAAGGATCCTCCTCTTGATTATTAGCTGGCTGAACTGGTGTAAGTCACTTGACCTCTCAGAGCCTTGGGATTCTCACCTACCAAGTGGGAAGAACAACGTTTACCTCGATGATGGGGTGTATATAAAGGAACCTTGGAAACTGTAAAGTGTTGTACTCATGTCAGCATAGTATTAGGCAAAGAGAGTCCTGAAAGATTTTTCAGGGAAAACAAAAACAATGACAAAAATGGGGGGGTAGTTAGAAACCCAGAGTTTTGGGCCAGTTCGTCCACTGCACTACTGGGTAACTCTGGATAATATATA